TATATATATATATATAGTAGTAGTACTTTTTCTCTTTTTTACATAATCATAGTTTCATATGCACCTGTTGTTTCCAATGCATACAGCTGTTTAGGCATATTTGTAATGATTAAATATAAATTTAACCAGCCTTGTCTTGAGCCTGTTTTTGTTCACTTTTGCCCATCAGTGCATGTAAGGACGGTTTGGTCGCCCGTCATCTTTAGATGCATCATGCTTTTATTCATCACTATTTTCTGCCTTTAGAATAATATTACAAATCATCAACAATAACACACACACACACACACAGTTACATTTAATGACTTTTAAAATGCTAGCTCCAAAGGCCCTTTCTGCTGAAATAGCATAACCACACTGCTACTAAAATCAGTTGCTGTGTATTCTTGAGCCTGTTTTTGTTCACTTTTGCCCATCAGTGCATGTAAGGACGGTTTGGTCGCCCGTCATCTTTAGATGCATCATGCTTTTATTCATCACTATTTTCTGCCTTTAGAATAATATTACAAATCATCAACAATAACACACACACACACACACACACAGTTACATTTAATGACTTTTAAAATGCTAGCTCCAAAGGCCCTTTCTGCTGAAATAGCATAACCACACTGCTACTAAAATCAGTTGCTGTGTATATTACTCATATATCGAGAAGTGCAGTAATAACACATGATGAATCAAAGCTCAGAGTGAATGTATGAAGGTACACAGTGTTGTAAAATAATTTAATTTAATTAATTTTTCCCCCCAATGGTTCTCAGGAGGGCATTATTATTGGTTTATTTGTTGGTGTGTAAAAAAAAAAAAAAAAAAATATATATATTATGTGTGTGTGTGTATATATATATATATATATGTGTATATGTGTGTGTGTATTAGGGCTGGGCGGCATGGGCAAAAATTAATATCTATTTTTTGGGCCATTTATATTTCGGTGTTTTTGGATTAAAAAACCTATTTTCTCCCCCCTCTCTCTCTCTATCTCTCTCTCTCTCTATCTATCTATCTATCTATATATATATATATAAATTAATTTCAGTTACTGTCCAATGTTGTCCAACAAAACGATGTGTATTAAAGGCTGTGAAAACAAAGTGAATGTAAGCCTTTATATTATGTGCAAAAAAGGGTTAAAATCACATTTCATTGTAACATGGCAATCTAAAAACAAAATAAGGCTTTAAAGCGGAAGTTAAAGGGTTAGTTCACCCAAAAATCCCCCAATGGTTCTCAGGAGGGCATTATTATTGGTTTATTATGTATGCATTATGTAAATATGATAAATGTAACATTATAACAGAAAATACTTTTTATTACACCCATGCAAGCCCTATATTTGGAGAGAGTCTAGCTTCTCAAAGAAGCTAAAGAAAGCGGGCGCCATCGTGTCGTGACGTCACAAAGCCGTGGAGATCACGTGACAGAAAAGGCGCAAAGTTGATACCACTTTCCAACAGACGGGGGTCTTTCTCCAAATGCATTTGGACTCGATATATCTATTGCGCTATGCTTTTCGTTCGCTCTGCTATCGGTTCGCCACAAATCGTGCCTTTCAGACGTCGCTGCTGTATCGAGTTAGTCGTATGTGTCGAGTAACCGACTGAGTCCACACGTTCCCGCTCAGCGCGTTGGACTGTACCATCCGGTCTCGGGTCAGAGTTCAAAAGAAGTCTGCAGTGCGTGTTCCGCTCCTGCCGGGTTTTTAATTTCTTTATTTTGGAATAGGTGGTCTTTCGTTTTAACTCCTTCGGAAAGATGGCCTCAGGTGAATATGTATAATACAGCGTAGTCCGTAACGCAGTAATCGTTCTTTATTTGTTTGCTGTTCAGTTTTGTGAGACATAAAAGATGATAACCGCAGCGCGCTTAGCATTAGCGGCTAACAAAACCGACGACGCGGTGTTTGATCATGTTTAGATATAAAACCACATTCACGATAGAAAACACGATATAAGCCTCTTTAAGTATGTGTATCTTCTGTTTAAGTATACAAGCCGAGCTCGGTGGCTGTGTGAGTGTAGCGAGGATGAGCGTTTAGCCGCGAGCTCAGGGAATGGCGTGGTGTGGTTGTTAGCTTAGCATTTTTACTAATGCTCACGCGCACGCTTATGTAAGCTACGCGTTTCTCTGACTTGATTAACTTTGTCGCGGTGCTTCATATATTCTGCCTAATTGTTTATTTGTGTCCGCAGATTCCGGCTACGGTCAGCCTGGCGCTCAACAAAGGTTTGCGTTATGGGCGTTATGACTAATCTGCATGAATAGTTGTTATAGATCTGTGTTACTGGGTGAATATCCGGGTAACGTTACGAGAATATGGCGGCAGTGCCACGGTTTGAGTTTTTGGGAATATTACTCATTAGTGTGTTTCAGGAGGTGTAATTTCCCCCCTTTTTTCTTTGTGCAGCTACGGATCTTATGGTGGATCCCAGGCCTATCAAGCTGGACAGGTATTGCTTCATTATGCTTTAGTGTGTGTGTGTAAAAAAAAAAAAAAAAAAAATATATATATTATGTGTGTGTGTGTATATATATATATATATATGTGTATATGTGTGTGTGTATTAGGGCTGGGCGGCATGGGCAAAAATTAATATCTATTTTTTGGGCCATTTATATTTCGGTGTTTTTGGATTAAAAAACCTATTTTCTCCCCCCTCTCTCTCTCTATCTCTCTCTCTCTCTATCTATCTATCTATCTATCTATATATATATATATATATATATATATATGTATATGTGTGTGTGTATTAGGGCTGGGCGGCATGGGCAAAAATTAATATCTGTATTTTTTGGGCCATTTATATTTCGGTGTTTTTGGATTAAAAAACCTATTTTCTCCCCCCTCTCTCTCTCTATCTCTCTCTCTCTCTATCTATCTATCTATCTATCTATATATATATAAATTAATTTCAGTTACTGTCCAATGTTGTCCAACAAAACGATGTGTATTAAAGGCTGTGAAAACAAAGTGAATGTAAGCCTTTATATTATGTGCAAAAAAGGGTTAAAATCACATTTCATTGTAACATGGCAATCTAAAAACAAAATAAGGCTTTAAAGCGGAAGTTAAAGGGTTAGTTCACCCAAAAATGAAAATTAGCCCATAAATTACTCACCCTGAAGGCATTCTAGGTGTGTATGACTTTCAGACGAATCCAGTCGGAGTTATTTTAAATATTCTTTGATCTTTCAAGCTCTGTCGTTGCACTCGGCGGGTGTTGCATGCATCAGTCCAAAAGACGTGAAATAAAAAGCGCCCATCCACAAAAAAAAGGGGGGTGTCTATCTATCTATCTATCTATATATATATATATAAATTAATTTCAGTTACTGTCCAATGTTGTCCAACAAAACGATGTGTATTAAAGGCTGTGAAAACAAAGTGAATGTAAGCCTTTATATTATGTGCAAAAAAGGGTTAAAATCACATTTCATTGTAACATGGCAATCTAAAAACAAAATAAGGCTTTAAAGCGGAAGTTAAAGGGTTAGTTCACCCAAAAATGAAAATTAGCCCATAAATTACTCACCCTGAAGGCATTCTAGGTGTGTATGACTTTCAGACGAATCCAGTCGGAGTTATTTTAAATATTCTTTGATCTTTCAAGCTCTGTCGTTGCACTCGGCGGGTGTTGCATGCATCAGTCCAAAAGACGTGAAATAAAAAGCGCCCATCCACAAAAAAAAGGGGGGTGAACAAAGGCCTCCTGTAGCGAATCGATGCGTTTTTGTAAGAAAAAGGGTGCTTTTTATTTCACGTCATTTGAATTGAAGCAATGCAACACCCGCTGAGTGCAACGATAGAGCTTGAAAGATCAAAGACCATTTTTAATATAACTCCGACTGGATTCGTCTGAAAGAAGAAAGTCATATACACCTAGGATGCATCGGGGGTGAGTGAAACGCAGCCTAATTTTCATTTTTGGCTGAACTAACCCTTTAAATTCACTAAAATGAAAATAAATGAGAAGGGACAAAAACGGTAGTTATGCTATTTTGAATACCCCATTACAGTCAGTGCTATCATAAAAATAAACTTGTAGGTTTACAATTCTGCGCGTCACATTTATTGTCCAACTACAAATATTTCAGCGACATGTATATTTTAGTCAGAATTATTGCGCTCGTTCACTGAAGTCTGTGAAGTTTAGCGGAGAATCTCAAAGCAGAAGGCTCATGCACGTCTGACAGAAAAATGGAAATATTTCCATGGCTTTCTAACGTTTACAGACGGAGAATATACCTGCAAGTTCTGCATTCAGGAAGACCGCACATCTCAAACACATTAAACCGCGCGAGTAGTGTCTGTCAGCGGCACACACAGCCTTTCTGTCAGAGCATATGACGGGCCGAGCCGCTTGAACTAAAATGCCAAACGAAACCATAAACTGTCTTACCAGTTTTTAAAGGCCTTAATATGAAGCTTGTCACATGTTTAGAACAAACTGGATAATGCACTTTCTCCGCAGCAGCTCAGTCTGTCATCCACTATATTTTCAGATTCGCTCGTATCAACTGT